TTGACTTTTTATATAGGTAGGTAAAAGGAAGCAATTTGTCACAATTACAATATTTATTTGAAAACGTAGTATTACGTGATATACACACCACACACCGCCGCGGTAAGCGGTGAAGCGGATCTTATGGCGCCTATAATAAATCCTTAGATGCCTAACAAACATACACCGCCAGACAGCGCGGGACACTTCTACCGCTTTACCGTCGCCGCCCTCCGCGGCGGTACGCGGTGCCGTGTGTTAATCGCCTTAGATAATCACCGTAATAATTGTTGAATAGGCATATACATATTTCCTTCCGTATTAACATTTAAGATCAATTTTATATTACAAACAATGTTATTTCCCTACGTAGGATTGAGGGAGTCCCCATATGACCGGAAATTACTGAGTGTATGGAAATTCGTCTATAGCTTTACTAAGCCGACTAGTCATTCATTTGTTGGCGTAAATGTTGGGTATATTTAAATTAAAATAATAACCTAAATAATTCCAAGTTCATTCCCGTTTAATAAAAAAAAATTAAAATGGCTTGTTCTACAACCGGTAACACATGGTGATTTGTTAAAAGGGTGAAATTAGATTTAAGTAACTTCTGTAGCATAATATAGCACACTTTTACCAAATATAACTTCCTAAATAACAACTTCCTAATTTGTAAGTGTACAATTATTCAACGTCCAAAGAAACGAAACTAAAATGGCGTCTAATTAACACTGGCTTAGCGTCTGCGGCTGCGCATACAATTGTTTGAATTGCTCCGGCGCCAATTTGGATCACTTAACGCTCACACCAAAGATAATAATGCACACATTGAAACTATGAAACGAATCAACAACTATATTCAGTCTGAATAAGTAGGTACCCATTATGATGGGTACCTACTTATTCAGATATTTATTCAGATATATAAAAATATGTTTTTATATATAAAAAACTCAGATTACAAAACATTACTTAATTTCAAAAATGTTTACTTATAATTATTAATCTCAATGTCAAAATACGTCTTCATAATATTATGTTACGTATATTATCTATATGCATAAAAATGAATCCCCATATCCCTTGGTCCCGCCGTCACGCGTGATCGGCTGGTTCTTAAGACGGGATTAAGCGGGATTGCGCGTACAAAGTCGATAGCAGAAGCTAGTTATATAATAATTATAAGGTATATGAAACCTCCCCGTCTGAGTTCTCAGCGACACAGGTACGAACTAATTTCAAACATTTAATATTTGAATAATTCAAAGTTTTGCTATCTTGCAACAAAGTGCTACTATTAAAATACAAAGTTTAGCATCGTTTCTACTCACTAGCTCTCATATTAAAAGTTTACCTGTTTGGATCACAATAATATTAATCGAACTTTTAATTATATTTTCTGAACTACAATTATGATCCCTACATATGTACCTACACATTATTTTAACATGGAATGTCGATACATTCCATGTTAATGACGTATTTTAATTATGTAGGTATAATTTGCAGGATATTTAATAAAATAATTTCAATAATCCATTGGTTTTAGGCACCTGCACATTTTTAGGTACAATGTTTTCGTTTAAGATTCCAAATAGTCCAAGATCTGAGAGACAGTGCTTAGAGATTTCGCATTATGTGCGTTTAATAGGAATATATTTTGTATTCAATAGATACACGCTGCCTAATGTCTTTGGCATCTCATTATAAATTCATGGGAATCCATTAATGCTCTTAATAACGTGGAAATCGAATCACAGGTAAGTATGCCTATTATATACGTATTATGTACATAATTAACTATGTTTGTTCATAGACTCACATGTATTGAGTATATAGGAATGTCATATTATTGAGTTATATATTATGAACAAGCCTATTCAATAATGTTAAGCACTTCCCTTCAGGACCTTTATACGCCTTGTTTTAATAATAATAGATGCAGGCCAGTACAACCGCTGTCAAACTGATAGACATTATTCCTAAAACAAGGACTTAATTTAACTCGAGTACCGGTTTTGTAGACACAATTATAGAACAATAGGTTGCGGTCACCGGTGACCGCTTGGTGTTTGACAGTTTAAGGAGATTTCATCAAATTATCATTTCAATAGTACCTAATCTTGGTGAATTTTAACCTGGTCAGCCAATCTAGAATTATAATATAAATCATTTTGATAAAATGAAAAGTTTAGTAAACTGTTTGACAAAATGAAAAGTAAACGCTATAATAATAACATATGTTTCTCGAGTAATAGAACGCATTTTCTTAAAAATAGCGTTTTTGTATGTTCCCAAGATTATACAACCGTTTGCCAAACGAATTGCTACATATACAATCTTTGAAGCTTTTTATAAATAGAATAAAAAGGTTTCTAATATCTAAGGCATATTATAGTGTTACTGAGTACTTAGAAGACAAAATATGATGTTTTTTTTAATTAATTTTTATCTTGTCTTTATGTGTAAACAAAAAGTGAGTCAATTGTTAAATTGACATTCTGTTTGTTTAATATTGTGACATTTAAATTTAAATCATAGGTGACCTATTAATTAATAATTCAAATGACATTCAGTAATAATAATCAATCCAAATCTTTGTCCAATCCAACTATTTTCTAATTTTGTATGCTGAAAAAGCTAACATAGCGTTTAAAAATGTTATTTAAGACCCTAATGTTACCTATGTTCACAATTAATTAAATGAATTTGAATTTGAATGAACATATGCGAACTCTGAATTAAATGGTATAGTTATTTACAAACTGTATTCATATTATCCTCTCTAAAAATGGAACCAGACATCACCTTCACTAAGTACATTTGACCCCAGCATTGCCAGGCTGACCTCAGTCTCCTGTTGCAGTCAAATCAGACTGATCTCATCCACCTTTTGTGCTGTACTGATTAATTGAACTGACTCATATAATCATGGCGGATGTGTCAATTGATTTTCAGCCTAATTATTGTGATACTGTGTCTGGGTTTTGATTGTGTTCATGGTTGATGGCGCTCTGGGCTTGGCCTCATGACGTTAGGAGTGGCATTCAACACGATACCAGACAATATTTCATATGATTTGCGTGAGAGATATCATATATTATGTTGGTTTTCCTAGGCAGTTAGGTGCATGTGTTTAAGGTCGAGTGCCTTATTAATGCCTTATGAGCCTAGTTAACGACCTACTACCTATATGCGTTTTGTTATAGTGCTAGTCATTGGACTTTTTTATTTAAGTTTTTTTATCATTTTAGAATACAGAATTCTTTTATCTTTTCACTTTCATCCTCCAAAGGAGCCTTCACTAATCAATTTACGTGTACCCTCCTTAAATTTAGTAGAATCGTTTTTAAGTTTTAATGTACTAAACAATTTATTTCAATGAATGAGGAACAATAGTTCTAGTGCAGTTGGTCGCTCGTGACTTCACAATCATGCTGAGTGCATTTGCACTTACGTACCTATGACAAACTTTTGTCATTCCACTTGCCCAGATTTCCCTTAGGGTTTTATGGTTTTCTTCTGTGTCATAACAGTATTTGAAACGTTTTATAAATTAAGAAAAAAAAATAAGTATTGTAAATTACAATGATTGTTTTTATTATAGTCACTTAAAATCCTCTTGCAAAATGGAATACATTCAACTGAATGCGATCAATATAATTAAACTGAGCTTGTCTTTTTAAACAAGCAGACGGATCACCTGATGGTAAGCAATCGGCGTTACAGTTGCGTTACCGACCTTTTGGTATTAGGAATTTGAGGATTGTTGGGGATTCAGGGATTGGGGAAGGTCACAGAAACAATTAATAAGTCATTATATACATGTTAGGTGAGAATGTTAAAATAACACAATTATGACGATTGTTTAGCAGTTTTGCCCAAGAAAGATCAAACCACTGGCGAATAACTCACAACAAACTCACTGGCAACTCATAAGGAACTTTCCAATACAAAACCTTTACACACTAATTAAATTTAAGGTTAAACGTACTTGAAGACGGATCGTCAAAACAATTATTCGTCAATGCGGAATCACGCTGTATTACCGGTTTATAAACATTATTACTTTGAATCCGTTGTTTGTCAGACATTGAGTCATGAGTCTCGAAACCGTCCATTACTCGATGTTAATTGTAAGGGTCATTCTTAATAACCTCATGCTGTAGGAATTGATGGGACGGATCATAGATACACCGATACACGAATTGTGGCCGTAATCATTTGGTTTTGAGTGTCATTGACTCTGTTGTAAAGTGTAGTGTAAAGCCAAGGCTACACTATGGGACAAATGTGACGTTGTCGTCGTCTATGGGACGTTGGGTGAAATAGCGCGACGTTGCCGGATTTTAGTCGATAAACCGCGAGCTATCGTCTTATAACATGGTGGCAAAGTCGCTCGACATATCGCCGATACATGTCTTGGGATATTTTGTCTCCTAGTATTAAAAAAAAAATTAACTAAAAATCGCGGGTTACTCACGTGAATATATTAAACTGTCTGTCTATAATGACGGTACGCAAAGGGTTAATAATAGAAATAATATTCACGTGGGTAACCCTTGTCATTTTATCACGAATTTAATATTTTCATCAAGTTCTTCATTAGTTGTAACTTGAAATGGATTTGTATATTGCTAACTACATTCATGACATGTCATGTCTACAGAGACGTAGCTAGCTGATGAAAACACTTAATAAAGTACCCTATTCTAAGCCCACTACAAAAGATAAATTATCTTTACCCTCAGTAAAGTATTGTAGCAAGGTTTTATTGCCACCGATATCACTAACTTCTTGATTCCTACAAAATGGAGATTTTTTTATTCCATGTTTGACGTAATACATTTACAGCGTTAATTAATTAAGATGACAACATTAAGCCAACCTATTCACAGTCTTTTTTTCACTACAAGCTAACTAAATAAATAATGTACCTTATTTTCATTCTTCTCATATTTTTTTGCCCGTGGAAAATGTAATTAATTTTACTAATGAATATTCGTTAATTGTTTCAGAAACAAAATGGCTGACGATATTATGAACTTCACAGACGAGGTCAGCGCTACGGTGGAGCCTAGCGAACTATCCAAGTAAGAACTTTTATATAATTTCTTTACACAAGCATTAACTAATTAACTACTTATTACTTCCTCCTTCTTGCTCTCATAAGAATCGTATAAAACATTATCTACTCAAATAAATAGAAATGACATAGCTTTATAGTCTAACTAAATCCACCTATCTTCCTTGTCTTTTCCTAAATTGATAGGTAGGTTCATTTCTATATTTTAGTAAGCTTACAATAGTAACTACACGTGGGCAAAATGTGCCTAAGTAAACTGGAGGGGACAGGCATTTTCTTTCTATGTAGCCACGTTACTGATGTAATAATTACCTCAAATAGAACCAAAACCACGGCCTAACAGAAAACCGACGTGAAGCAACGCTTGCGTTGTGTTTCGTCGTGTGAGTGAGGTTACCGGAGGCCCAATTACCCTCCCCTTTCCCAATCTCCCCAATTCCTGAATCTCCAACGATCCTCAAACTTCTAAGGCCGGTAACGCACTTGTAATGCCTCTGGTGTTCCAGGTGTCCATGGGCGACGCCGATTGCCATCAGGTGATCCGTCTGCTCGTTTACCGGCTTATGCCATAAAAAAATAGAAGTAAATATCACGGTAATCACTAATAAGGAAGTAATTAAAATTATTTAAAAATCAATAAAAGAGACTAATTCTTCTAGAAACTAATTTGCCGTCTGTCTGTCACGAGTTTGTTTGAAATCCTTCAAAGCAGACGTGACCAAGTCATTGTGATCGTCTAGTGTTGATCCTTTCTACTTATTTTCACATTATTGTTTTAGTTACAAACTAACCTTACTTGTTATATAACATAGCCAGGGATGGGCACAATAATATTGTGAGTTTTATTGTCTACGATCTAATCGCAAGAGTTGTTAGACTCCATCATAATGTGTGACCTGACCATAATATGATAGTGGTTGAATACACACACGTGTATAGAAATAACACTATTTCTATAGTAATTATCGAGTCGTTTTCCAGACATTTTCCTAACTATATCGAGGTTGGTTGAGTCTTAGCTAAATATCGGTATTTATAGGATATAGGCATCTGCCACCCTCTAACTGCTTCCTACTACTTACCTACCAATGGTTCTCATACCAGATTGTAGACTGTAGACTAAATATAGAAGGCTCAAGGACAAACAGGATAATTATTTTAGTTAAAATACCAGTTCCTATTACATCATAACTTTTACTTCTAAAATGAACAAAACGAAATACTAATTAAGTTAGACCCTTTGAGTCTATTTTGCAATTAGTACTCCAAACATTTTTTGACTCACATTATTTAGCTAAAAATCCACTTTTCTCAGTTCAGCTTTTGCTATTTTCTTTTCATTTTTACTCTGTGGCGCTGTTGAAATAACGATGCTATATTCATATTTTTTCCCGCTAAAAAGCGCGCTTTGTAAAGCAAAAAATATCTGTGCAAAAAGGTTGTTTTTTAAAATATCTTGGTTTGAAATTACTTTAAAGTTATTCCTGTCTATAAAACGTGAAACAATCATAGAATCGTCCTAGTAAACTTTAATAAAACGACTTTAGATCCTGAGTTCTCATTAAATAACAAAATGATCTTGAATACCTGCTTCTAAGATTTACTTACAGAATTTTCTCGAACACTTAAGTTTAAATAATCGTGTCTCGAAAATTCCTAGAATATTTGACAAAGTTTCTCTTCTCTTTTTACTGGATCTTCTATTAAATACATTTACTGTCTCCAAAACTCCGCAGCCATTTTGTAAGTGAAACTTGTGACAGCCACTAAAATGTTACCTTTAACAAAAACTTCTGAATAGTTTATCGACCAGGTACAAAACTTGGGAACTTTTAGAATTACCTTAGATTTTCTCGAAAAAAAAAGTTTGGATATATTTTGTGTGTATTATCTAATCTTGTGAGGCATTAGGGCTGGTGTTGGTGAACTAATCCTGCCATTTGCTACATGAAAAAAAAAGTTTCAGCTAAAAAACTGTAAGGATAACGCAATCTTTTATCCATACATGACTGAAAAGATTCCCTTAAGACTTGTAATTTTGTTACAAAGTACAAATGTGACCTCGAGAGGTTAAATAAGGAGACATTGGCATCGTGATCCTTTTAGGAACGTTCTATCAGAGTGTAAACTCATTCACACAGATTATTTTCGTGGTGCTGATAAAAGGCCATTCAAACTACGAAAAGAGATTAAGGACAGATTTTTCCAACGCCAGATAAATATTAACTGAGAAATAACTTTGAACATTTGACAATTCATCCATACTACGAACTGTGAAATGTCAATTTCATTCTACAATTAAAAATAAACTTAGGATTGAAGAATCGGTCGGTCCTAAGAAATACTTGGGTGGGAGGGCCATGCTAAAGTGTGGGAGATCCATGCTAAGTGTGGGAGAGCCATGCTTCGGCACGAATGGGCCGGCTTGACCGGAGTGATATCACGGCCTCACAGAAAACCGACGTGAAGCAACGCTTGCATTGTGTTTCGTCGTGTGAGTGAGGTTACCGGAAGCCCAATTACCCTTCCCTTCCCCAATCTCCCCAATCCCTGAATCCCTAACGATCCTCAAACTCCTAATCCCCAAAAGGCCGGTAACGCACTTGTAACACCTCTGGTGTTTCAGGTGCCCATGGGCGACGACGATTGCTTACCATCAGGTGATCCGTCTGCTCGTTTACCGGCTTATGCCACAAAAAAAAACTTTTATTTTCTTCCTCGAAATACTCCACGCCTTCCACGCAGTTCACAACAAGTTCATCTATAATAAATGGCTCGATTTAATAAGCAATCAGAATATTCATTGATAAGTACGTAGGGAGAGGGCCGGGTCCACGCGTGGCAAGTCATTCGTCAAACGGCTGATGTCAAAGCACCGTACTAAACACATCCTGTGTCAGTACGACACTCCCATATTACAAATCATCGAATATGGCGGATAACCCGGTTATTACTTATTTATATGTGTGCATATATTATTTGACTGTGTGATTCTAGAATAGGCAGGGTTTGAATAAAACTGTCAGTCGAAACCTACTAAATGCACCTTTAGCAATTCAGTGTCTCTTGAAGTCAGAACTTCAACAATCTACCTTTAGGTCAATTAGATTTCAGTTCTACCTTTATAAACTCACAGATTGCCCCATAATGAATGGAAAAAATTAAATAGATATGAAAATAACTCAATAGGTAAACTATTATAACGGCAATATAATTGAAGTGGTTAAGAACCCCCTATGAAAACAAAACATTATGAAAAGTCGTGATAATAAAAAAATTGCGTATGTAAAATACTCTCTTTGATGTTATAGTTTATCATACATATTATTGTATATTACGGGGTATCCCTTATCATCATTATAGATACAATATCATTGATGAAAAACCGATTACCTTAGTATTATTCCGTTCATAGTTCTACGAGCTTTGGAAAATGTTTGACAATATTTTTGCTTTTATATTTTTTGACGATGCGATTTGGTTCGCTTCCAGGTTCTCGCCGGGATTGCTCACCTTTGCTGCCATAGTCACTGGGACCATAATGCTCGTTGGATTGTTTGGCAATCTCCTTACTGTCGTCGCGCTCCTCAAATGCCCCAAAGTGAGGAATGTTGCTGCTGCTTTTATTATAAGGTAAATATTTTTCTCCAATCATTTTAGTAAAGGACACCATCTGTTTGCGCCAGAATTTGAAATGTCCGTTAAAATTAAAATAAAAATGAGTAGAAAGGGAAAATTCCAAACCAAATGAAAACCATTCCATTAGCATTGAATCGTAGAACACTTAAATGGTTTCTAATCAAAGTTTTCCAATAACCATTTAATCTAACAGTTTTACAACAATAATAATTTTCTACAAATTACCACAAAATGTTTTTGATTGTTGCTTCTGGGAACATAATCCGCCAATTGGTGAGGTGGAAAGTTTCCAACTAATTTTATCTATAACTTTTACTTACACGGAAAACTTTTGATTGTTTAGCCACCCTAAAGACTTAGTTTACGGACTTCTATCTTGATTTTTGTACTATAATATTTATTTCGTCGAATTTTCTTAGTCATCACTTGAAGTATTTTCCAATAGATCAGCTTTCCAAAATCTTATTAAGCTTAACATTTTAAGTAGGTACTATTGGTACATTCATTGAAATAATCGCTGACCGCTTACTATCAGGTGATCCGTCTGCTCGTTTGGCTCCTGTTCCATAAAAAACTAAACTAAATATAGTTTAATATAGCGGGTGTACTGATCGTATAACAACACCTCACACTGTATAACTTTCGTAGCAACAACTTATTAGAAAGACCTAGGTACTAACATTAGTATGTAACACGTCACATTGAAAGATAATAAATTGCAGTCCACCTTAGACAGTTCTGAGAAAAGTCGTTTTCCTTTTATTGTAATGTTAATTAAAGATTCTATACTTTTATTGTTCTACTATGTTCTGTGGTTATAAACTACTTATCATATCTAAAAGCTCTTAATGAACTTAAAATCAAAAATGTGAATTCGAAATTCTTGGACGATGCTGATCGCATACCATAAGTCGACCTGTCTATCTACTCGTTTACCCCTATTATATAAAAAAGTGTCTGCATCTTAACTCTAAGAACTAAGAAAAATAGGTATTATTCGTTGATCGTAGTACCTATACCTATGGTCGAGCAGAACCAGACCCGAGCGTACGGCGCGTCACGTTCTGCGCGCGCTTCATAGAGCCATTAGACCACCACGGATGGGCTCAATACGGCTGATGCCGATACGGAGTCGCGGAGAACCAAACGGGGCTCCGGCTTCCAGCCGGAGCCATTCTCCATTGCATTGTGCATTTCCAATGCAGGAGTAGGAACAGGGTGGTTTTTAGTTAGTAAGAGTCTAACACTCACTCGATGATTTTCCCCCTTAAATAATAAATACATACCTGTAGTACTTACTATTAATACAAAATGACGACAACTATTGTTACCAAAGCCTTAGTCAAGACAATGCAACAGAATATCATCTAGTACATGTACGTAACACCTAGTACTATAAATACATAACATTTACAAGCCTTCTATGTAACATTTAAACAAACAAAGACGAAATACAAAACTATTACATCAGGATGACATTCTGTTTATGATACTGCCATGTGACGTAATGGTAATACTAATATGTAGTTATAGCATTCCATAATTGGTAAAAATACATAATAACTAGGCATTTCTAGTAACGCCATAATAGTCTAGTCTACTAATTTAACTAAGTGACGTACCTATGACGGTGTTGTGTCGTGCGCATAGTTCTAAGAATGTAAAATCGTATTTTGAAAATACATAAAATATTACTTTTCTAAGTTCTGATGATGATTGACTTTAGCGACTGTGGTGGTGGTCGTGTTCACGGTGTATGTAGAAGTTGTTATTCTCAAGTCATTGTAAAAGAGTTAAAACTAAGCCTTCCAGATTTTTTAAATCGTTGCCCGATATTAGGATTTTCTCCTGTGTCGTGGGTGCGTTTACAAACATACAAGTTCACATAAACAAAGACATCCAAACCCGAAACAACAATTTGTGGATCACACAAAGTGTTGTTCTTTGCGGGAATAGAACCCGCGACACGTTGTACGGCAGCTGGTTGCCCAGCCACCGCACCAACCGTGCAGTCGATTGGCATGGGCATGTTACCACCTTGTTGTCCTTTTTGTTGATTTTTTTGTTGTTGTTTTTTTATAGTTTATTGATTTTACTACTCTTTTGTTTGTGTGTTTCGTGCATCGTACCTAATAGCGAATTAACTAATTTTCTTGCTTTTTTTAGTTGTTTTAAAAAATCTTTTTAGTTGAAGCACTTCTCTCCTATGTCATGGGTGCTCGAAATCAAATTTGTTCTTAGAGAAAAAGTAACTATGATCTATTGCGTACAGACTAATCGTCTATTTATATAATACCTTTACTGTCGATCATAAAACATTTTCGAGATTATCCACGCCTACGATTTAGGGGAAATATACGCAGTATTGTATTGTTATCTTTCTGTTTTTCCTAATAGTACGGAAACTTTATAGTTTTGATGAACATGTTGTTCACTATCGGATAGCTATCAAACCTGTGATTAATATAAAGATAATCAACTATTTCTAGAAATAGAATACCTTTATCCTATTTACCTCCATCTCTATTTAAAATATACCTACTCAATAAAGAGTATCTATTTATTTATTTATTTATGTATTTATTTATTTGGACATCCAGTTGTTGCTACATTTTTATCATTAACTTAAAATTAGGAATTAACATCTTACTGCTAATGCACAACATTTGAAGGACATCACAGCATGCGTTGAGTTGAGAACACTATATCAATTAAATTAAAATTTATCTAATTTCTCTACATTACCAAATTTACAATAAATAAGAATTATATAATTAGTAACAACTTTTGTTATCACTCATTATACAATAGTCAACCCTGAATACAAGAATATAAATACAAAACAAAAGAATAATCAAAGATCAAAACAAAGGACACAGTCATTAAAAGCTCAATAACAAAAAAATAACATTAAAATAAATAGATAAAATCGGTTGCGGAACAAATCAAGTCAACAGCAACATAATAAAACATCTATCAAGCTCAATAGGAGAAAAGAAAAAAGTAAAACACTTTATTCAGCACTAGACACGATGCAGTATAAATATACCTACCTACCTATATGACTTTTAAATAAAAAAAGACAATAAAAGATAGTGTGGCAGTGAAAGTAAAATAAACAGGGAGTAAAAAATAGTATTGTATTTTAATATTCACGACTGTCATTTAAAAGTCAAAATCATTTATTTATTTATTTATCAATTAGGTAGATCAAAAAGGCACTTTTGAACGTCAACAAAAAATTAAAAGTGAATCTATTTGCTCATTCCAAGGTAGTAGAAGAACGAGCCAGAAATTCCATAGGTTACTATTTTTCAATCAGGTTCACAATACAATTCTCTAGTTAGGTATTTTCATTGGCATACGAGTAACGGCAGTATGATGTTATTTGCCCTGTGACCGTCAAGGTCCTTAGAAAAAGCCCTTCAAGTGGTTAGCTGCCGACCGATCGTGATCGATGTTTCACCCTTAAGGTTATAGATACAAAGTAACCTTTAGGAGCTCATCCATCAACATTGTAATCCTTATATACTGTGTATCGATATTGAGGTTCATTGCTAATACGACTATTTTTAATGAAGGAGTTAACAAAAGCAAGGATAACTGAAGTGAAAACTGGATCTTACACTGAACCTAAAACAATTTATGTAGGTACCAATTGTCGAAGTATGTAAAACAAAAAACCAAATTATGTTAAACGTTTATCGATTTAAAATTAAATTAAAACTTTTCCGTTAACACGTTAAACGCCACGGGGACCGATGTTAGCGTAGGATTTCCCTTCAACAGTTTTCTATTGCCAGTCAAAGGCTTTTTTTAAGGGGGCAAATCATCGAATGACTGCTCCCGCCTGGGTAAGGCGGGAGGGAGTGTCAGACTCTTACTGACTGAAAACCACCCTGTTCCTTCTCCTGCACGTCGAGCCGGAGCCCCGGTTACCCGTTAGGTTCTCCGCGACGTTAGGTTCTCCGCGTAGTCAAAGACTTAAGTGACACTTCCCAGCCAGCACACAATTAAAACTTGATATGAAAGTTGTATCTATACAAAAAACGTACCGTTTAAAGCACGATTTAATAACCATTTGTTAAAAATAAAAGCTTGTGCCTGTCCAAGTTTTTGTAAAACATTTTTTCGCCAGAAAACAGACACGTTTCTATTGAAAACGGTTTAAAAAGGTCCGCAATACCGTGCTGAATGACCTCTCTAAACGTTTGACATCCAAATAGGTAACTCGATATTTTCGCATGCCCCACAAACGTTTCCGCTCTATTCATGGCCCTCAAATAGTATTCACAATACGGTGTACGAAGTATAATGTTCAACAGCACTATACACTCAATACTAGACTATATTTATGATTAAATATTATTTTCAGGTACCTGAGTGTTATGCACTAAATAACGACTATAATAGTATAGTGGTGATTCTGGCGAACATAGTCGAAATCTATTTTACTTTTATAAAGAATGTTTACAGCTGTGTTAGGAATTTATTCGTTAATTGAGCCGAATATTATATTATTTTAAACTATGTAGGTACACATCGCAATTAATTTCTATTCATCATTATTCCAGTCTCTGCATAGCGGACTTCCTCTTCTGCGCCATAGTGCTCCCATTCGCCATATCTGGGTTCTGGACGCGGACCTGGTCTCATGGGGGTGCACTGTGCAAGCTGGTCCCGTTCCTGAGGTACGGGAACGTCGGAGTATCCCTCCTGAGCATCGCCCTCATAACCTTGAACAGGTAAGAGCCTCGTGGGAGGTATTGTACTCAACAAAGATATTCACAACACGTAGATATTTGCCTAAGAATTTGTTGTAAGTAAAACTTTGTGAATAGAGGCTTCAATTTTAGCCCTCTTTCAAAACAGATTTAAGATCTGAAAGCTCGGTTTCAGGATAATAATTCAAGATACTATACTTAAAGTTTTCAACAACGAAAAAGTAGTACCTAAGTAGTTTAGATACTTTGGAGCCTATAGTCTTAATTTTAGATGTTGAAATATTAAACTTAAGCGCTACACAATTTCGGTAAATCGTAGTTAAATTGGAAAAGTTGAGTGCTTTTAATGCTAAATAAAGTTTGCAGCACTATTTTTGGCATCAGCAATAGAGGCTTTAGTGACCATTCAGTAACACAAGCATTTTGTAGACACTAGCAGTTAGGCAATTTCTTAATACAACCACGGTGAGTACCTATTATATCCTGTGGTTATTATTTTTATACAGGAATTGTGCTTAATATTTGGAAAATTGGTATATTTTATACCTAGAAATAGACATACTACTTTGTTACACGTAGATTTATAAGGCGAAAAGCAAAACAGGCGTTAAGCCACAGTTTCATCCTTCTAAAACGATCAATTTCCTCAATCACATAGCGTCTATCAAACATAGATATTGACCAATTGAAGTCGTATTTAAAATTCGTTAGACACTTCTGGAGTCATCTCACGTTTAACCTTGCGAAACATTATCATAATAGACTAATGGCATTAACAAACCATAGCTGATCGCAGAGTGAATTGATATTAGTCCCGGCTATAATACCATGAATAGTTCGAGGATATTACGATGTAATTGTAAAGAGCTTGGCACGAGTATTTACAATCGTGTGTTGGAATAAATTGTTGTTGTATTGCCTCGTTTAAGCGTCCGTAAACGTGGTAAATCTACCGATTTTCTCAACAGTCGGGTGATTCTACAAAAACAAAAACAAAAAATTAACGGCGTCATTATCAAAGTTAACAATTCTGCTGATTAAATACAAAGTTTATTTTCAAAAAATTGAGCCGTGTCACTGCTCTCACCCAATCCAATAAAATACAGATGCTAATAAGTTACTGTGATTCTTAACAACGCGGGAGGATAATGATTTGTTACATAAAAGTTAAAGTTTTTTGAAGAAACACCCAGTTCTTCCTTGCCTACATCTATCGATTCCAGGTACCTATAAGTACCTACATTATTCTGATAATACCAAAATACTACAACCCATTTTATCGAGGCACATGGATGTTACGAGAAAATAATAACACTCGTTGAACATCGCAGCTCTAAACTAGTCAATTACAATTTTTCATAAAACTAATTCGCCTCTATTGTTAGTTTAGTTAACAAACATGACAGTTACATGCGCACTATAGCACAAACATGCTCGTAAATAATGCATTGCACATTAATTTCGACTCACAACTATACTGAATGCAAATTCTGACACGTTATTGTCTGTAGACCATAGAGGTCGGCAATCACAACGCGTGTGGTCCGACCTTTTTCTTTTCCCGGTGTTTATTAAAGCAATAAATAATAGTCTCTGGATGGTAATGTTTATAAATAGAAAGCTTATGTTTCGGTAAACTCTGTTTATAGAAATTCGTGATGTTTAATGTGTAAATGTCATTCCTAAATAGGATTAAGTCCATTGACCGTGAGGTACACGTGTCGTTTGTCGACTTACATTGAATAAATAACGAAATGATTAGTTGATATATTTTTTTTACTGAGGTAGTTGAATTGTGGCAGATTTATTCATGATCAAAATGATCATTAGTATAAAAAATATATACAGAGTTCTAAATGTAGCAGACTATGAATAAGTAACA